ATGTGACGGTAATAAGAAGATGTGATCAATATTCAAATTTTCTACTTTTTCATTTTTCTACAGATTCCAAAAGTATCGAATATAAAACATTTGATTCCACAGAAGAATTGATAGCAGCTCTGAAATCAAGTCCGAAATTGGCTCTGATTGTTCCAGTAGACAAGAACTGCCTGTCGGGCGTGGCATTCGCCGAAAATGACGCGCCGATCGGACTCATCGTTGGATATAGCCGATCTCCGAACAATATGTACATCGCGCACGTTTTCGTAAGCCCAAGTTTTCAAAGACTCGGCATTGGCACAGAACTTATTCGAAATTTCGAAAAAGCTGCTAAACAAAAGGCATTTGAAAAACTAACGTTGTTTGTGACCGAAAAAAATGTGGGTGCAAGAACTTTGTACGAGAGAATTGGCTTCGTTCGTGGTGGAAGTGGCATGGTAAAATATATATGAGGCAATTCTGATCGCCTTTTTATTGTCGATGTTGCTTTTATGTAGTATTAAGCTTAGCATGCCTTGACTTTTGTAATATTCCAACATAGTATGCCGTGATTTATTTATCACTTCAGAATAATACGAATTACCAAATAAACTACACGTCTCTAATTCTACATTTATTCCCTCATTTATGCAGAATTATTTGTAAAAAGTGGTAAATGTAGCTTCATCAAAGATGGTAAGTCCCGATGCTTCATGAATTTGTCGCAAAAGTTCAATTTAAAATGTCACTCAATTGAAAATGGCAAAAAGTACGGCGTTTTTACTGAAATTGCCAGTTGTTTCTATGTAAAATTTCAGGCGAAAATCGAGTTCATTTACGTATTTAAACATCTGCATCTGTGCATTCCAAACATCAAAAAATAAGCAAATAAATGCACTTCAATACATTCCAATGAATGCCAATTTTTTCACCTTATTGACTCTACTTGAGTGGGATTAAATTATTGAAAATAAAGAAGATTTAAACTGAGTGTTCTGTCAAATTTGCGCACCAATACATCCAATTTCATGTCCATCCATGCTATTCTTCGTTTATATGTATAGAAACTTCTATTGAACGTTCAACATCTATGCTGACTGACATTTGTGTACGCTAATCAAGCGACAAACAAACACGCACAAACACACACCAACAACCGCATTTCACTTGACTTTGTCTTTTGCCTCTGTCTTGGTTTAGTGATTGATTATTTGCATCGTCTGCTTGTATGTAGAGTGCTTCATAAACATCAAGCCGACGACAATCGTTCACTTGTTTCTTCAATTTCACACAGTCTTTGTTTATATTTGTGTGGCCATCTATCAGAACGTGTGCGGCCACAGCTGATTTGTATGGGTGATTTAGGCGAATGCATGCACAATGTTCACCAAAACGTTTTGCAACGCTTCGTTTTGTTTGTCCCGTGTATTTTTTTTTTTACACTCACTACATGTAACTGTATAAATGCCGGCTTATTTCAGTGGTTCAACTTTATCTTTCGTTGAGCCTAACAGATTTGATAGTTTATCATCATTTCTGAAAACAATTTCCATTCCATATTCGATGAATTTTTGTTTCAGTTTATTAGTTATGCTCGAAACGAATTCAAACGAAACTCTCTGTTTATCCGGACTGTCTCTTTGTGAAAAAAGTGTGGTGAGATGCATGTTTCTCACTTTATTTCCATGTTTATAAATCAATTTGTGCACTATTTCCACATTGAAACCATTCACACGCGCCGTTTCTTTTATGTACTCGCATTCATTTCGAAAATTCACAATATTCATTGGAATGTATTGAAGTGAATGTTGTTGGACTCTACGCCGTTTAACTGAGAAATTATTAGTGGTTTTTCTCTTTCAATTTAACTAAGCAAATAAATAAAAAGCGAGAATTAACGCAAAAATGTGGTGCATGCAGTTCGAAAATGACATTTTTATTTGGAAAATGGTCAAAATAGTTATTTTTCAAGCTCAGAAGTCTTATGAAAAGAGCTTTCATTGAAATTTTGGTTAAATACTGAGCGGGAGGTAAACCAAATTGCCGCGGAGCGGAAAACTTTGGATTACTTATGTAATTCGTTTTATTTTTTATTCCTTTTGTTATGTGTTATGTACTACGATAAGTAGGGAACAACTTCATATTTAGATTTTTGGAAAAATCGCGTATTTATCGAGATAATTGGAAAAGAGTCAAAAGTGTCAAATTGCTATAGCAGCCTGAATAAATGTCATAAAAATAATGATGCAAAAAGTTAAATTGATGTGTTTTGATCCTATTAGCCATAATATAACATTTATAATAATGCTACCAACTGTACTGATTTTTTTCAGTATCTATACTGATTTTTTGACATGCGTACTGATTTATACTGATTTTCAACATTTCATCTAATTTTGTTCGAAATCTCGGCGATTTACAGCAAAAAAATCGATTTTTTAAAATATAAATTGTAGCATAAAGTAAATAAATGGAACGAAAAAAAAAACTATTTGCAGAATCTAAATGGGTAGAGATGTTCGAGCCCATTCGAAAAGGATTCCAATTTAATCAAATATGTGTTATTTTTTCCAGGAACGCTAATTTTGAGATATTCCGCAAAGCAAATATCCAAACAAGATGTGCAAGAATTTAATTTCTGCTCTTCTTTGATCAAATCAAAACTTTGAAGTCAATTTTAATTGATCAATCTAATAATCAATCATCATAAAACTTCACTATCAGTGGGTGGTCCAAAACTATGGAACCAAACCCCAGAAGAAATTCGAACTGCAAATTCGGTCAATAGTTTTCGTAATCGATACAAAAAATACCTGATTGATGAACAAATTAACGAAGTACAAAGCAACTCATAAATTATTATGTATTTAAATGCACTTAGTCCCCAGGCGGAGCTGTATTGTTTACTATTTTCATGATCAAAAAGGCTGCTGAAATGGCGCCAATTTGATGAATAATCATATAGACTGAGCCCACACTGTAGATTGTAGAAATGATTTTGAACTAACATATAATCACGGAGTTGTTATCTTAATTGCATTGGAAAATACCCAAATAGTGCCTGAAAGTAGGCAAATTGCATGCTTCAATCACTCAATTGTGCGCATTTGCTATTTATGTCTTACCCCGTGGTCTGAACAAAATACCATATGACATATTTTTAACTAAATATCAAAGTGGAGTAGTCTTAATTTATCTCTCAATAGCAAAATAGAACGGTATGATAACCTATAGTAGTCAAAAATGAGATTATAGTCGAAAAATATGGTTTGAGGCAATTTTTGAGGATTCGAGTCATTTTGCCATGCAAACGTGCCAACATTATGAAATGAAAAGTTGATGATAATGGATGAATTCGAAAACAAATTTTCATTGAAGCTTGTTGTTTTCAGTTATGAAAAATTCCACGTGAATATTGAGTTTATCTGCTTCTGCGCATTCCAACCTTCGGCAAATAGACATAAAAGCAAGAATCAGCTCTTGAATGCGGGGCGGGGCATGCATGCGCTGGCTGATTTCGAAAACAACTTTTTATTATCTATCAGAATATTTTACATTTTCTTTTCTCATTGGAGCTTGTTGATTCCATATGCGTTACTTCATACGAATAAGCATGACACGTCTGCACAGTACACGCATAGGAAAACAATATTCCTTATAATTGAATTCGAAAACATGTTATTGAAAAAAAATTCTTTTCGCTTTACTACAAGTATATCTATTTGCTTATTTTTCGATGTTTGGAATGTACAGATGCAGATGTTTAGTTCATTTACGGAATTTAAGGAATTTTGTTTTCCTACGCGTGTGCATACTCTATGTGCAGACGTGCCATGCTTATTCGTATGAAGTGTCGCACGTACTCTGCGCTGCATACAAACGAAGCGTGCGCGTGTGTGTATGTGACAGGCTCCGTACATTTCGCGCTATCCCGCTCTGTTGTATGTCGTATATATGGTATATATTCGCTTCATTCGGCTCTATGGACTGTATACGCTATGGATACTTAGAGCGGAATGAAGCGTTTATGAAGCGTGTTGAGCGCAAGTTACAAACGGGTGATATATTTTTTTCTCCAGTTTTCAGCAAACAGTAAATCGAAAGATGGAGAAATTCTTTTGACCGTCTCCATTTCCAAAAACGAGATTCACTGGAGCCAAATATAAACTTCATATTAGGATTCGGCGCAAGCTTGAGCATCAAGCTGTGTCATCAGCTTCCCAATTACATAGAAGTTTTTTTTTCCATTCATACGAATGTGTAACGAACTGTGCTCTCAATTCTGTCCATGACTGTAGGTACCTTTCGGTGTATACGTACAATGGCTGAATTCGAAAACAAATTAATATTTGACATTTTTTTTTCTCATTTTGTTTTCCATGCAAATTTTCCATTGCGTCAATGTGAGTTTATTTACATATCCAAACATCTGCATCTGTGCAGTCCAACCATCAAAACATATGCAAATAAGCAATAAGCTCGAATGGAAAACAATTTTTCTTAATAACAAAATTCTCTACGACTAAATTCGAGAACAATATAAAATGTTTTCCATTCGAGGTTCTTGCGTCAATTCTCGCTTTTTGTCAATTTGCATATGTGTCGCTGAGAATAAAAATGGGAATACAGAAGTGTTTTAACTGAAGCGCAACTAAAATTTGTTTCTTAAAAATGCACCATGAATCGTCATTTGAATAGAAGCGTAACATGAAAAATGTGTATTTTGAATGTGGTTTTTTGTGTTTCTCGCGAAAATGATGATATATAATGAAATATTGATCTTCAACACTCACTCAGAATTACATCGGTGACATGTACGACTTGTATTGGTAATTCAACAGATCACCAACGTACACATCGCTTATGTAATTCTGAGTGAGCAAAGTTATAGAATTAAAGTTATTCCCATTTTTATTCTCAGTGGGACATATTGACAAAAAGCGAGAATTGACGCAAGAACCTCGAATGGAAAACATTTTTTGTAAATTGTTCTCGAATTTAGTCGTAAGGAATTTCGTTTTGCTACTCGTGTCATGATGACGATGAATTAATAACATTTAAATTTTGATTATAAATGAGGCACCGAATTCGTGGAAATTTAGTAATTGTTCAAGTGATTCAACTAGAAGCATGTCTAAACAATTGATGGGTGAGTTTCGTCTTAGTTCTTTTTTTCCTTCATTTTTTTCTAATTTTCATTTTTGACAATACTTGAGATTTCAGTCACTCATTGTGTTTTAATCAAAATATTTTCTATCCATTTAGTTTGTTTGATTCTGGTTGCGGTTTTGGGAGACCGATTCATGGTAACTTAACATTTTTTATGTATTTTTTGCATGGGGTCGATTATTATTATTATTATTATTTATTTGGTTTCTTCATGCTTACATCTAAATGATTGATGACATGAAGAGCATTTTTATCATTTTTCATACAAATTGACTTTTCGAAAACGAAGGAAAATCAAAACAAATATATTACGCGATTCATTATCCCCAAATTTAATCATGTCATTTTAAATGACTCATTTATAAAAATAAAACTCTTGTAAGGCAATGTCTACCCGATATTTTATTGAACTAATTCTCCTTTATTTGTTCTTAATTTTCAACGTGAAGCAAACTGAAGGTGGGATAGAATTTATGACCAAAGTTGTTACCAAAACTAAGGGAGCACTAACAAAAGGTAAGATTTAAGCTCCATTTCATTTTTAAATTTCATTCTCACCATTGCATATACAAAGCGCCATCTGATGTATGAAGGCATTTTCCATATAATCTAGTGAAAAAACCGGACCAAATAAACGAAAACTCAACTCGAGTTTTCAAGGAAAATGCATTGTGTTTTAGGAAAAAATAACAGTGGAATTGTGGGTGTACTGTACATTCATTGCATTTAGAATCAAAGTAGACACAGATACACATACAGGTGGTCGAAATCGCGAGTATATACTCTCCTACTCAATCATTATTGAAATGAGTAAGTCTCGACCTACTCTCCTACTCATTGGTTACTCTTTGAATAAGAGAGTATATACTCAGAGTAAATACTCTTTGACTTTGAGTATGTCTCGACCTACTACTCATTTTTTTGCGAAAGAGTAACTCTACACTTACTCACTCGTACATCATCGCCATATACACATAATAGAGTCACATATACACTTGTTTTTGGTGCCTTACGGCAGACAGCACATTGTGTCACTGTACGCATGAACAACGATTGCTCAATAAGCAAAACAAACATGAAATAGTCAGGGTGCTATTCTATACCTATACGGATCTCTGGTATTTTTAAAAAACCTGCTCAATATAGGTATACACTATGGATTTTCGATATCCTACTTTTTCTATGAAATTGAAGAGTCCTCCGAATAACGGAACACTCATTCGCCTATCATTTTGGGCAACAGTGTTAATTCATCCCACAGATGTACGACATTTTCTTCCAATTCACTTCACTGATCTATTTTTTTCTTCAATTTTTAGCCAACATGAAATGCGCGGAAGGCCGTACAGATCTTCATGACGCTGCTGAAAAAGGTAACTTAAGTATTTATGTTTTGTATTAATAAGAAATTGATTGAATCTATTTCATTGATCTGTTTCAGGTAATTTGGACGAAGTTAAAAAGATCATCCAGAAAGGAGCCAAAATTGATTCGACAGACAAAGACAAAAGAAAGCCTCTTCATTTGGCTGCTATGAATGGTAATTTTCCACATTTATTTTCATAAAACAAGAAATTGGTTTGATTTTCCTCATTGAACGATGTAACTTTTCAGGTCGCAAGAATGTCGTTGAATTCCTCATCATGAAGAGAGCAAATATCAATTCTTTAGATAAGGCTAATCAGACACCTCTTCATTTGGCTACTGAGAATGGTAATTTTTTTTAAATATTATTGCATACTAAATAAGAGGTTGGTTTGATTTTGTTCATTGATCGATTTTATTTTTCAGGTCACGATGTTATCGCTAGAATACTCATTAGAAGTGGAGCCCAATTTGATGCTATCGACTCTCTTAAGCGGACACCGCTTCATTATGCTGCTAAGAAAGGTAATGTTGGTTAATTATGCTCAATAAATCAGAATTTGATTTGATCTTTTGCATTGTGTTATTTTTCAGGTCTCAAGGATATTGTTGAAGAGCTCATCACAAAAGGAGCCAATCTCAATAATAAAGATCTTCACGGGAGCATACCTCTCTCGCTAGCTATCAGCAATGGTACTGGATATATAGGATGTTCCGTAACAAATTGATTTGAACTTTTTCATTGATCGATATTATTTTTCAGGTAAGGCTGACGTCGCTGAAAAGCTCATCAATAAAGGATCCGATCTTACTTCTAAAGATGAATACGGAGACACACCTCTTCACCTCGCTGTTAGGAATGGTAATTTTGAATATTTTCACTAAATAAGCAATTGATTTTTCACATTGGTCGATATTATCCTTCAGGCATATTGAAGATCGTTCAACTTCTTGTCGAGAAGGGCGCCAGTCTTACTGCTAGAGACAATCGTCCAAATAGACGTACACCTTATGAGACAGCTTGTGCCTTTAGCGGTGAAAGTAATGCTGAAAATTTCTGTTCAGAAAAAATGTGATTCAATCTTTATCACTGATCGATATTATTTTGCAGATCTCCAGGAAATTGCTGCCTATCTTAGAACCAAACTTTAACCATTGCTGCTTTGTCGGACTATCGATTTTAACATTGTGTCAGAAAAAGCACTTCAAGTTATTTGTCTTCTAAATTTCCTACGATATAAATATTGAATAGAATTTTTTTTTTGGATTTGTGCAACCCCAACAAATATCCGTGCTAAATTTAGACGCGATAGGTGTGAGTGATACGTCGTAAGAAACCATCGGCGATGTTAGTTTTTGTGCTTAAATCAAATGAAAATTGCACACTCCGTTGAATCAATGCAGTTTCAAATTGAATGTTTGTTAAGGTTGTGCCAATTCAGGAAAAGAATACTTTACCCGAAACCTAATCGCAAACGATTCGCATGAAAATGCCAAGTAATTTTTTTGACAGAATGTAAATAAATCAAACACAGTAAATCATAAAAATGAATCTAAATTCTGTTCAGGTTTGAAGTGACCTTTGCTAATTTTCAATGGATAAAATTGTAATAAATAAAAGTATTTCATTTTTGAGCTCATATTTTTTCGATTTTTCTCCTTTATCAGTTTCCATACATTAATAGACATATGAATGTATAGGTATACTCATGAACAGTTGGTTTAAATATGGCCAATTTACATTGCGTAGAAAAATTGGCTTGGCCAGCTGATGGACTGCATCAACTTTTCCGTACCGTTGTCCGTACTTTTATTTTTTTCAATATTCTTGAAAAATCGGTCACTTTAACTAAAATTTCGACAATTTTGTATGGGAGGTACCCGCAAATCGATTCCTATTGCCTTTAAACTTTCTGATGTTTCATTTTTCCAAGAAAAGAAAATTTCGACAAAATTGAGGACAAAAAATCAAACTTCTGCAAATGCGATCAACATGAAACTTTCAGAATCATAGTTTTTCTACGAAAAATGTAACCTCATAAAATTTGAAGCCAATCAGAATCGATTAACGGGTACCTCCCATATGAAAAAGCCGAAAAATATGTATGTGAATAACATCATTTGCTGAATAAATAAATAAAAAAAATAAAAAAAAATCAGTCATTTTAGTTGAAATTTCGAAAATTCTCAGAATCTTATTTTTCTTCTAAAAAATGAAACCTTAGAAAGTTTGAAGCCAATCGGAGTCGATTAACGGGTACCTCCCATACAAAAGTGTCAATTTTTTGAGGTTTTTCTTAGAGCAAGTACCACAGGGTCAAATCGAAAATGGCTCATCTTCGAACTTAAACTAAGTTTTTCGAATACAAAACTTTTGGGACTTTCAGATTTTGATTATCTTAATTATTTTTTGAGTTATCGTGTTAAAACACACCAACGACAACGACAACGACAACGGCACACGAACGGAAAAGTGTCCAAAAAAAGTGGTTTTCTACGCGTTTCATGAGTTTTTATGATGATCTAAGCTAATTTTGCGAAAAAAGTTTTCGGGACCAATTCCTATACTTTCCCTTGACACGTTGTGTACGGAAAAGTAATAAAGCAGCATCCACCATGATAATTTTTTCTCTGAAGAATGGCAATTGAACCGTTAGTTTCGTTTCAATTCGACGATTTGTAGAATTTCTTCTGAAATGCAGCCCCTCTGATCGTCTGCACCTGGAGACTGGTTGGAGAAATAGAGAATCATGCCCATAGTTTGCTATAAGAAGTACGCGTCTGTGTTAGTTCAAACGTTGAACTAGGGGCATTTAACTCGAAATAAATGCGTTTTATGCGAAGAATATGCGCTTCAACTCATAGTAAAAAAAGTAATATGTGCCGATTTATGTGCTCGTACTATGCGGTGCCCATTCGTTAGAAGTGCACGTTCGATGTCCGTGCATAGTCACGGATACTGCACATAGACAATTCATACTGCGAATAATTTCGCATAAATCCTACTGAAATGTTCCCTTCTCTGATTGGTCACACGCCGCGATATCGACTATTCCGAATTCAAAATTGCAACGACATTTTTCACGTGAGAATACAAGAAATACTTGATTTCAAGTGATGTTGACATAAATGAGGACTAACACCAAATTCTTCTTTCTTCGTTCTGTTCATTAGAACGATCAGACTTCACATTGAAAGTGAAATTTTTCTCGGTTCACATTTTCTGTAGATTATTTTTGTTTACTTCAATCATTTGTACGCGTTTCTGTTTATGATTTATATTCCAGATGCTATTTCCAGCAAGAGTGAAACGTCGCACTTATTTACTCATTGATTATTATACCTACGAAAACTATCGACTTTACCTCAATATTTGTAAAAGCCCCTTGACGTTGAAAGTATGACACATTGCACTTAGTCCCCAGGCGGCGCTGTATTGTTTACTATTTTCATGATCAGAAAGGCTGCTGAAATAGCGCCCATTTGATGAATAATCATATAGACTGAGCCCACACTGTAGATCAGAGATTGAAATAGCCGGTAGTTCTACCGGAATCCGGTAGTTCTGAATGAAAAAATGCAGCTCTAAATCCGATTTCCGGTAGTTGAATTTTGAATATTTCTCACACAAATTTGCCCAATTTTCAGTTATCAAACGAAAATAAATGTAATCTAAAATGAATATAAATGAAAAAATCGCTCCATGAAGTGAAAAAACGTCATTTTTTTTATCTCATGCGGATGATTTTATGTATATACTTTAAATTCTGACTATGCAATATCGCCAGTGCCAATGACTCTCAGTATATAAGCATACGAACAGCTGTTGGTGATCAAAATAAACAAACTTCATTATTTCTTATATAGAACATTATATTCTCAGAATAAAAAAAAATGAAACGATTGGATTATTATTCATGTTGCAACAATCGATTATTATATACAGTTATAATTATACGATTGCGTTGCGATATGACTTCAAAAAACGAATCATTCGATCGGTTTGATTTCTCGTCGCTGCGAAAGTACAATGCGAACGACAATTTAGTCAGTTTGGAGTCATAAATTGAATAATAAGCATCGCTCTCAATTGAAAATGAGCTCAAGAAAGAATAAGCCGAAACATTCTGGATCAACGATCGACACATTTTTTCAACGCCCGGGTAATTTATGTCGTAATGAAATATCACTTCGAAAGGGTTATTTATTTAGTGTTATTATTTAAAATAGGCTCTACGACAGTTGAAACGCATACCACGCAAAATGAACAAACTGATCAAGACAAACAAGTAAATCCAAGCGCCGATGAAAGTAATGCCGTTCAAAATTCCAACGAAAAATCAATGCCACATGATGAATCTGAAAGTGTTTCAATTGATA